ATTATAAACCAGCAAAGGAAATGGCCGTCCCCGATGCCTTGTCTCGTCAAGAAAATTTCTCTGCAATAATGAACTCCAGTCCTGAGGAGGAGGATCCTCATTTTCAGTACATCAAAGGAAAACCACCTGAGGTTCGACTTCTCTCTCAGGAGGACAAGGTCATAGAGGCCATTCATCCTCAGGTCAACCTCATTTTATTTAGTTCATGGTGACACTGACACTGAATTAGACTTTGTGAATATATCTAGTTCTCATGTCAATGAACTACATGTTTCATCTGGTAATCATTAAAAAAGAGTCAGACTCTGATCCTCAACCGGGCAGAGATGCGGAGGACATTGCTAAAATTATTGTTCACCTCAGCCTTTCAAAGGAGGATATCCAGATATATCAGAGGAAGGATTATTGTGCCATCATCAACTATCTAACAACAGGCACTTTACCATCAGCACAGCGTGAGGCGCGGCAGATTTTATTACAACAAAGTGACTATGCTATGATAAATGACTTATTATTTTGTATCAGGAAAGCTAAACCTCAAAGTCATCTGTTTGCAAATCCTTATCAGCTTGTTTTACCAGAGCCACTGATTGCTATTATTCTTCCGTTTTTCCATGATTCTGTTTTAGGATCCCATGGAGGAATCACAGACACTATGGAAAGAATCAACCAATATTATTTCTTTCCTAAAATGGCAACAGTTATAGCTAACTATATTAACTCATGTGTGAAGTGTCAAGCGCGCAAGTTTACCAAGCATCATGGGAAAAACAAGATCACTGCTTACTCGACACCTAGCCGCCCATTTTCAGTATGGGAAGTAGATCTGTATGGTCCGTTACCATGTACGGATCGCGGAAATAGATACATATTTACAGCATTAGACATGTTCTCTCGGTTGTTATTTACTGTGTCTATGCCCAATAAGGACGCTTACACTGTGTCGGAGGCTCTCTTCCAATTAGTGACTAACTATGGTGTTTGTGACACGCTTATCTCCGACCAAGGCACAGAGTTCACGGCTAAAGTGACACAGGAACTCTGTAAACTATTGGACATTCCCCAACAATTCACCCCAAGCTTTGTTCACCATTGCCTTGGTGCGTGTGAACGTTCGCATGGAACTCTAGCCAACAAGTTAAGTCCCTACATGAACTCTGCCTGTACTAATTGGGACTCTGTTCTTCCAAGTGTCACGTTTGCTATTAACAATTCTCAGCATTCCACTACTGGATATTCACCGTTTGAGGTAGTGTATGGGTTCAGACCTAAGTTTCCTCTGGCCCATATAGCTTCTGTGGATGACACTCTACCAACGGACATGAAAACTTACCTGTCTACCAAACACGACGCAATGGAGTTAACACGAAATGTGATCTGTGAACGGATTAACAAAGTCAAGGCAAAGATGACGAAACGTTTAAACGAGGGTCGTTCAACCCTACATCTTCAGAAAGATGATTATGTTTATATGACCCATGAGGCAACTGGTCCAGGAGCCAAGCTCAAGGACAATTACTCGAGACCATATGTTGTTTTGGATATTGTGAGTGATCATATGGTGACCCTACAGGAACCTAAATGTAAGAGACATTTCCATCAACCCATTCACATTGATCGTCTGAAACCAGCTCACATTCGTTGTCCATCGCCCTCAAATTTCTTTGCCACTACCACTAGAAGAACTTTTCGTAATATGTCTACACAGACAGACATGCATCAGCCCCTTGGTGTAGTTCCGGATTTACCTAAATCGTCCACTCCGTCAGGAAGTTCGTCTACTGGTACTGATTCGTTGAGTTCAACCCCAGATTCTAACCCAGTACCCCTATGCACTCATCCCAAACGAGTTGTGCGCAAATCAGCAAGGTTCTATGGCTCTGATCATATTGATCCTGCTAATCTTCATCTGTCTGACAGTGTGAGAGACAAGGAGAAAGTTAAACGTATTCTTGCTCAGAGACATACAGTGGATGGTCTCCAATATCTCGTGCAACTAGTTGGAGAACCTGCTCAGAATGCAAAATGGCTAACCAAGAGTAGTTTACCATCAAAGTGCTTAGCAAACCTTTTAGCCAAACCCCCTCCTACTATCTGATATGTTGGTCAAATGAACTATTACTATTAGTCTAAAGTGAATTCTTTAGAATACTTATGCTTCTTTGCATAATCATAATGTTAAATATGGTTTGTCCTCATGATTTATTGTTGATTAAATATTTGTTTTTGAAATTTGACTTTATTCATGAACAATGACAGATTTTTGGATGTAATTGCCTTGTATTTGCTTGTGATTAATTGACATTTTATGCCATTTGATTGTTGGAAAGTATAATAATATTGAATGAAGTTCTGATTTATCAAATGTGTAATTTCTATAAAGTTTGATTAATGTACAGATCTTCAGTGATTGTTTCTGCTCAGTACTATGCTTGTTGCAATATATTGTCAGTATTACATATGATTCTACCCTATAATTACCATAATGTTAATCAGACATTGAATAATATGCTTATTAATTATGATCAAGGTGTTATTCATTGATAGAATATAATTGTGACATGACCTAGATTTTGGATGCTAGAGGTTTATAATACATTCCAGTCATTTGTCTCTTAATACTGATATGGAAGGTCCTAATGTAGTATGTCTTGTCAGATTATTCTCCCAATTGATTTTTGATAGCATATGTATAACAAGTGATTCAATTTATGTATATTTTATTCAGAGGAATTAACAGACAATTATTGAATGTTATGATGAGTAATTTACTTAAGGAGGTATGTTAGACTTTTCATGTAATGTCATGTTTGCTTGGCCAGCTAACATGCACTGCAGTTATGGTTTCAAATGCTGTTTCCATTTAATACGATTGTAGTTTATCTTCCATACCTATCCTTCTATATGCATAATTGTTGTTTTACCAAGCTTCATATCTTGTATCGTAACTATAGATGACGGTCATAATGATATGTATTTTGTAACCTTTTGTCATATGTTTTGTTCTCATGTTATAAATCAGATTTCTCATGACCAGTTATAAATTTCACAGGGTTCAATTTTTTTTTCCGGGGGGCATGTTATATATATGTTGTTGTTACTCATTTCCCCTTTTCTTTCAATTTACAACCACATTCAGGCGGCGATATGAGAACGTTCCTACACATGGAATTAGCTGATTTTTGGTACACATATGAAACAAGTAAAGCTCTATCCGATTTTCTGATGGAAATTTGCATCCAAAACTATATAACGGGAGAAAATTGCAAATTTATGGCATTTTTCTTCATAATTGTGTCTCTGCAAGTGCATTTTCATCCGAGATTTTTTTTTTTTTTTTATGTTTTATGAATAAACACGATGTTTTGGAAATATTTATAAAAAGAAATTTATACTATGTTGCGAATTACAATTTCGAGATAACCTTTTTTTATTTACGAACTTATGTCTTTGAGGCTGAAATTGACAACTTCATAAAAATACATTTTCACTGAAATTATGAAATCTGGGTGTCGGAAAGGTGTAAAATTATTTTTCGGAAAAGAAAAAAACAGTAGTTGAGCTAGATAAGAAATTATACGAGGGCAGGCTCCTATGGAGAATTAACATTACTGGAAACAGGCCCTTTGTTGACTATATGTTCTTCACACACAAAGCAGATAATTCATTTTTCACCACACACATACCAACAGACAACCCAAGTGCACACTGGTATTGAATACACCACACATATGATACTAACCACACATACAGCTTACATGTACATACACACTTGTAGTAGCCAAATGTCACACATACAACACAATTCAGAGATAACTTATAAATCGTGACTATTTCAAAAACGGTTCTGCAAGCAAATATTTGCTGTCAAATGCTCTTGTAAGTTAGATATGAGAATAATGGTTTTATACAACATAGAATAATAGAACATGTAATATATAAGAAACGTAAATCAACAATGTATATACACGAACAAAAACATAAATTCATGCGAGTTGATATTGTGACAAAAATATGTATGAAAAATAACAAGAAATCAAAGTGTACCAAATTAGCAATAGGTATGATTAAAGATAAATACTCATGAGATTAAAATCAGCTTAAGACTACAAATTTCAAAAAATTAAGATTGGCAAGTTATACAAAACACACTACAGGCCTGTGCTTGCACTAATAATAACGAATAAAAAACTTCAAAGTGATTCAGAGGGGAAGGATGGACAAAAACAAAGGCGATGATCAAAGTTTGCAGATATTGCAATTTCAGATGAGATCATCCTAGGAACCGTACCAATATCCCCAGCTTCCTATTTTTTGTGAATACACGCTACGTCCTTCAGAAGCATTCAATGAAACAAATTGTGTAATTAAGAAAATGATGGGTTGTGATCAGGATGAATAAATTCTGATGCTCCTTTTCTGTTTTTTTTTTTTTTTTTAACATTTTAAGGTCATTTTTAGGTTGAACAAACATGCCACACTAAGGGACAGTAATTAAAATCACAATCGATAAAAGAATAATGAATTATAAGCCAGCTCTATTTGTATAAAAAAAAGCCCATCAAAACAAAAAACAAACAAAAACAAACACATAGATAGTAATGAATGTTTTTGAAATACATTCAAAGTAGTTTGTGGTGTTGTGTTCACAAAGTGATCTTTTTTTCAGATTCAGATACGTTTTCAGCGGGCACAGTGCAAATCTTCCTTAAGTTTATCTTTTGCTCTTGTTTTCATCGATTTTGTTGAAATGATGACGAGATCTTTGTTGTCTTTGTGTACATAGGGTGGTACCTATCTCTTGTAAGAAATACAACCAGGATGACGCTGGACAACATTTGCGATGATGACTTCTAATTTACTTCGAGACATTTTTATAATATCAGAGAGTGGCATATCCGAACTTTTACAAATCCAGGGATGCATATCTAAAGTTCAATAAACATCCGCAGAATGTATGGTCCTTTCCGGGAAAATGTAGGTGATGATTAATGTAAAACTTATATTAATACTTTAACCGACTTTCGTTTTTGAAATAAAGTTGCTAGGTCCATTGCTATGACACTTCCAAATACCACACAGAGAATGACAACACCAAAAACACCTATTCCTGCAGAGGACTTCCTTTCATCCCAAGCACTAGTGAGTTTTCGAATGTAGGCTGAAGTTTTTTTCTTCGGCACTTCAAGAGTTGACTTGAGTTCGTTAATTATATCTTGCATTTTTTCAGATGAAGGTCTAGATGAATTAGAATAGGATGACGCTGGACAACAGAAACAATGCAATGATGAATCATTTGTATTTGACTGTGTTCCGTTGATTGTGACAGCTTTAGCTGTGCTAAAGACTTCAGGACTAATTGTACTGGTTGCCGAGGTATTGTTGATATCGGCGGTGAAAGGTACAGACGTGAAGCGAGTGATGCCAGGACTTTCCGTGTTTCCTGAATAGGAAGGAAATGAAATTATTTATAGGCATGAAGCGAGTGAAATCAGTAGTTTCGGTGTTTTCTGGATAGGAAATCAAACTCAATCTATTTATTTGATAAAAAGCAGATAATGCAATCACATGCACTTCCTAGTGTTTTGATAAGTAATCCGAATTCACCCTTTTAGCTAGAAAACCAAGAAAATACGTTTTAGTAATGATGAAGATCACACAACCACAAAATCCATACAAATGAACAGCAACGTTTAATGAATTAAACTTAGACACAATAAACTGCATCATACAGCTGTCTGTTCCCTCCAGGACTCGTCAGTGGTGCTTAGGGCCTAGACGTAGTTGAAAACATGCGGCAGTAAAGAAGGATATTTCATTAACATCGCTTACAAGTATGGAATCTAAAATGTACATATAACATTTAAATTGAAGATACCTGAAAGAGCACGGTAACCAATACTTAAACTGCTATTGGGGGTCTACTAAGTTTGGTTTGTATTTTTCAGAGTAAATGCTATAATAGATTTTTCAGGAATCACTTAACTGCATTTATTTGAATAATTCATTATCTGAATAATACCATGAATGGTCATGTCTATTTGTCAAAAATGTTCACATCATCAGAAAACATCATTTACCTGTAGCAATTTGTGTTGCAGAGCTTTCAGCAATGTTGGAAGCCGAGGAGCATTCCTGAGGGAGGGAAAGCAAACATATTGATTATATTCCGCGTATGAATAATACTTTTTCCCTAAGTTCCTGAATTAGTTTATAATTATATAAGTATATCTGCGATATCTGAGATATTCATAAATGGTTTTCAACAACAAAGGGTTTGAAACACCGGATAACTCAGTAAAACCAACACCACCTTGGCAATAACAAAAACGCTATCAGGACATATTTCGAGTTATTCGCGACATCAAGAGGGGAAAAACAATTCTTCATGTGTTCAGATATTTCTTTGTTTTGTTTTAAATTTAAGTTAAATTTAACCAAAGAATTAGCGGTAACCGTCGTATAATTATATCTTTGAAAACATTGTCATTATTTTACCTGTGATTTGGTTGTAGTCTGGTTGCCAAGTCCGAGAGTTAAAGCTATAACTGCCCAACTCATTTCGCATATCACATGACCACCAAATGGTGAGGTATGCGTTATACTCATGATACCGGATCGAAGGTTTTTCAACCACCCTGTTGAGTATATTGATTGTTCTATTTCATCCCAGTGGGAAATGGAGTCGTTGAATTTGCTTAAGTCGAATGTAGTAACATGCTTTGTCTCAACAACGAATGCAACAGCACAATGACTGAATCCTGATGGAACATAAAAAGTGTATTCACTGACGTAATGGGAAATAGGAGTAGGGAAGTACATCGCCGGGTCGCCATTTCGCTTAGCAACAGGGAAGTGAGCGATAAGTACAGCTTCATCAGAAATTATATGAATTCGTTCACATGTCATGTTATACGAGAAGGTTTGAAACCCAAGAATACGATGAAGCAGAACAGGTCCACATCCCATTACTGAAATGTTAGCACCACGGGCTGTTGCAAGAAATTTAACGTAATCCTGTTTGAATTTTGTCAAATGACGTCGAACGACAATATATTCTTTTCCCCAAGCTTCTAAAGGAGGTACGGAATCTGCTATGTGATCACGACCTTTGTGGTTATAAACTAAAGTAATAGGATTACTAGATAAAACAGAAAAATGTTTTTTATTAGTTGACCAAATCTTAATTCCACTGAGATCAGACTTTGATTGGATTTGAAAAATTTGTGCTTCGTGTAAAGTAACGGTCATGACATCACCTGGACCATAATGCTTTCCATCTAATACGATCGAAGAAGAAAAATATCCAGGGAAGGCTATTTCAGTTACAGTATTGTCTTCCTGAGAAAGAATGGCAAACTGACAAATACTCGAATGATTACAAAACGTAAGGATTGCATAATCGGTTCCAAGTTGCGTTGGATTTCTAGCAAAGTACATATTGGCACTATTAAGAGCCTTTGAAAGTACTGTGATAATTATCTCACTAGCGTTTGAATGGATGATAATTCCTTTGTCACTCTTGCCTGTTCCTTTTATTTGGAAGGCTGTTTTATCTACATTGATGGTGATGACCTCCTTTGGTCCTATACGTTCTTGCTTACGTTGAAACATTGAGGTAAGTGGAGCAGATATATCCACATGTATACCTGTACTCAGCGGATTTACAATGTTGATATACATCTTTACATTGTAAATGACATCGTTCTCTGAGAAAGCAATTGCTGTTGTATTCATCGTGACACCTGTGAAAACAAAGTATTTCATAATATCAAAATTGTATGACGAACTGAGTTTAATATTTCTTAAATTTCGTTTATTGCTTTTCTCTTATTAGTTGAATCTATGACAAAGAAAGCAGTTTATTTGTTACAAAAACATTTGACAAATGGCCACCCTTCAAGAATACTCAGAAATTAATATTCAATATGTGCGCCTTCATATGAAAAAGTGCCTACTGTTCAATGGTTCTGTCATGAAAAGGAAGAAAAAATTGATACAGCAATCTCCTTGTACTACAATTGCTTTAATTTATTTCATATCAAGATAAAGATGATATGATCAGGATTGTATATTCAATATAATTATACATTAATTTATACTCACAGTAACATAAACACGAACACAGGAAAGTCAAGGTACTCAGTGCTGATGTAGCAGTCATTGCTCCTAAAAATTAAGATTTCACATATAAAAACAACCAACATACCTCACTTAGAAATTTCACTTGAAAATGCACCAGTGTTGTAGTATAAAGTAGTAATTCATCATAACAAGTAGATAGGTTTAAATTGACTGATTGTATGACCTTACTCTCAAAAATTTCAAAAATACTGTGCTATTTTAAAGATAATGTATTGTATAGAAATATTCGGTACAAAAATGCAATTTATTCTTTTGTGTATGAATTTATAAATCAAAAAGTCGAAATGCACTATTTCTGTTATCCATTAGTACATATGTAATTAAGAATCGATAAGTAAGAAATTAAAATACTCACTATTTTATCACTGTGCTCACCTGGACGTTGTTGAGATGACTCCAATGGAAAGCTAGCTGACGAATCCATTTTATCATTTATCATTAATTATTGATATCAATTTCCAACCAATGACAAGTGGAATACTTACCAGGGTAATGCCATGTTTGAGCTGTTTATATTAAGTATTCGTATTTTAGTATGCGTTCATGTACACAATATAATTGAAAATCGTTTTTATGTACATCAGCGGACACATATTTGGGTGATATATAGTTCAGCTGGACATTGGTGTATTGTGTATAAGCATGCGCAGTATTAATAAACAAGATCAAGAAGCTTTGCTGTCTGCTTGCTGTGTCTCCGGATTAAATGCGCAAATAATCATACAAACACTACACACTAGGTTCTAGTTAGTGAGGTACAGTATGAATTTATATCTTTAAATAGTCAAATCACGAATAAGATATTTCATATCGATGAGACATGCATATGATAAGACAGTGGCGATTTATTATTGTTGAAAAATATAACTTTTCTTTTAGATATCAAATATAAACTAGAACTATACATGACACGTGTCACTGTGATTAAATTTATGAAGAACAATAATAAAACCTGGTCCTACTAATTACTTGATTACTCTAGTTTAAAATACAACTTTCATTTCATGTTTTCATATTTTTGATATGTTTTCATGAAATATTTGAAACATTTCTTAACTACATACTATGTGCTTCACTGCAAACTAACTAGACACAGGTACAATAAAACAGATGTTTCAATTTTTGATCGACAGTATTATGCAGGCCAAAAATCATGTTAAATGGTAGTCTATGTATTACTACAGTATTTGGCTGTATGATGAACCATAGAAAATCAAGAAAGACAGGTGAACACGTTAGAGAAGGATTAACAACATGTTCAAGGGTTAACTTGTATTCAGTTGTCAAGCGTATAGTTAGTTTAGTTATCGGAGGCAAAAACTTGATCATTTACGAGATCGCTATATGTGTACACTTGACAATGGTATCAAACATATAAACATTACCGAATATTTTTAAAAGTCAGACACTTAATAATTAAGCGACATTTTATCACTAGATGTCTGGTGCTTTCTGATTTATCCCGTACTCTTTTGCAATGGAAAGGCTTCCCAAATACCGACCGACATTCTACGGTTATATATAGTGTGTGTATCAACGATCTTTGAAAAAAGGTTTTACTCTTTTTTTTTTTCCTTTAAAAATATTTTCTTTTTTTGGTCTTTCAAAGGAAAAAAAAACATTATAAAGTTACAAAGTTATCGGTGGTAGGGTAAATGTACTGTTCGCCTCTTTACAAACAAAGTGTCAAACATGTAATTTAGACGGACCACAAGACTAATTATTTATTGTGAAGATACTAAATGGAAAGTATCAAATCTCACTTGACACAGATCGAAATAAGGTCCTAAGATAATTTAAGCGAGTAAGGAATTATTGTGTATCTAGTGTGTGTGTTTTTTTCAGTAAGAATTATTATGTAGTGGTCTTTACAACTAGTGATAGATTTTGTATAAGTATAGTTCCTTTGTGATGTACATGTTGTTTAAATGCATCTAAGATTTTGTTCGGAACCAAACAGTTACTAAGAATCAATACAAAATCAAATCAAATCAGATGTAATTCAGTGATGAAGGACATGAAGAATATGGTTTTGTATCTGTTTTCTTTTTATTATTATTATTATTATTCCTTTCTCCTTTTATTTGGTTTCAGTGAATAAACTAATATGATACTCATCGAAATATTTAGTTTTGTCTTTACAAAGGTAAAATTTACGAAATTTTCAGCAATATTAATTGTTTTGATGCTCCATAAAGTTTATTTTATATGTACCGGTATTAATATCGGTCAAAGTTATAGGCGAAATGTAAAGTGATTAAACAGGCTTCTATCTGTAAATAAATGAATAAACAAATGAATTAATACAAAAATCACATTTTTATTTTGAACGAGGAAACAGATGAAATTGCGTTATTTAAAACATTTTTTAAAGTTAATAAAGTTACACTATTCATGGTATGGTATCTATCATTTCTTAAACGCATTTATCCATATCTTTCAGGGGTAAATTCAAACGTCCGTCGTACAGACTGTAGCAGCCAGAATTGTATAGACAAAATCATTGATACAGTACATTCTCATTATTCCGAGTTGTCACCAATTACAAGATTATTTATCAGAACATCCAAAAGTTACCTAGTACAAATTGTTTCAAGTGTAAATTCATTTTTCAGGACTGGTATCAAAATTCAAATATGATCTGATTTATCCGGACTGGTAAAATTCCGACAAAATCGGTTATCCGTGGTGAACTAACACAAACATATTAAATAGAACTCTCATCAGAAACACAAAGCAAATTCCTTTTTTAAGTATCAATGGTAATTAACAACACATTTATAGTTCAAAATCAATATTTAATCAGTGAAATGTCAACAGTGACCCAATGAACTTGTTCCAGACTGTCATCAGTAATTCAATATTAAGGTATTTATCCTGGAATGTCATCAGTGAACCACAATACACTTATATATCCCGATTACCATCAAAACCAACCATAAACCGATTTATTCGGAATTTCCTCAGTGACAAACTCATTAATCTGTGAGTCATCAGTAGCCTTTCTCATACTCAACAACCCGGTCTACTTTTATAAATGATTCTTATGATTACAATGTTTGTTTGTACTTCATCATGGGATACATTAGTTATGACTTCGTACATAAATTGCTGTTATACGTGCATCTTGTGTTTGTGTTTGACTTGAAGAATATATAATATTCTTGTCACGCGTGAATGAATGTTCCACAACAAACATCAATTAAATATCTTTATATATCAATGTAAACGTTCTTGTGGGAATTTATCTATATAGACCATATTAAACATCAAAATTATATATTATGTCGACACCTCGCTGTTATTACACAATAAACGTCATAGCTCAATACTCGTATATACATCGTTAGTATAACACATGTGTATAAGATATATCAGTATTACGACACAGTAAACAGCCTACCTGGTGACACATACTTATTATTCTGTAATAGTAACACATTAACTTTCTTGAAGATATATCATTGTAATAACAAAATATCGATATGTAACCTGTCTATATAAATGAAACATTGTAATGATAACATATGTAATGGTGAATTATACCAACAAAAAGATCTCTTATAAACCGTTCTCTTTGTCGGTGCAAATATGTCCACAGTTTACCAAAGACAAGATATTATAAGGCAAATATCAATATAAAGTTTTACAATGAGACGATTGATAAGATATCTAAACAATGACATCTTCCAATCAACTTCTAGAACAATCCGTAGAGGGCGCCTACTTTTCTTGAACGTTGTCTCACCGTTATCTAACGTTATTTTTAGTATCCTGAAACAAAAACCGAACATTTCGCGAATAGGTTATACAAAGGGGAATTACTCTGTTAATGTTTTCAGCCTGTTCAGGATTTCTCCAGCCTTCTGCGAGTGAAGTAATTAAACAATACCGAATACCTTTGCAAAAAATAGAGTAATGAGGATATCAGAATATACATTCATTTGATCAAAATTTTAAAAAGCCCACGTATTGATATGGAATATTAGCAGTATGTATAAGGGAGGCATCAGAGAAGCCTCTAAAATCATAAAAGTGAAATGAAAGCAAGGAAATGTTGTGGTTGTAAATATTTGGCCATAAAGTTGATATTTGTCATCATGAGATATCTGATGTAGAAAGGAATACGATGAATGTCAAGAACATTAAACATTATTAACCAATCAAAAAAGCTTTGACCAAATATCAAACAAAATTACTAATTCAATAAATATTCACTGCAATATCTATATTGCTTGCAACGCTGTGATTAGGGATTCCGTATCCATGTTGCACTCCTCCATCGCCATGAGAACACTGCTCCAGTTTGGGCATGGCTTTGTTTCGCAGAATAATGCGTTCAACATGGCATTGATCATCACATGGGTTTTCTTGTTTCTGAACTGGAAGTCGAATTCATCAATATAGTTTGGCGAAAATCCCAGTTCAAGGAAAAAATTAAAGTACAATTTGAAACTCAATTGTTCATTGACGAGAGCAATATCATCGGGTGTTAGATCTCTCTCCAGCAAAGTCATTGGCAATCTGTCGTCTGAAAAGAAGATATAATGTATACAGTTACTGAATATTTCGACTATTCTTTCATACAGTTTTTCAGTAAAATATTTCAATACCCATAGAGGAAAATTAATTTGGTTGTAACTTTTATTAGTACATGACGTTGATTTTAGTTTGCATTTTCTTGGCAGATTGAATATACTGTTTCCAGACAATCCATAGTACTGACTTTGCACATGTTAACAACCAAATGATGTTAAATACCTTTAAACACCATGTCCCTGTTATGGTCAATTATGTTCTGAAGTTGTGAAGAATCCATTTTGTTTCTGGACATAGCATCAGCTACATTCCGGAAACTACATGTTGTGGCGGCCTTCATTTTGTGTAGTTGAAGAAAGATCTTTGTGACACGAGATCTGAAAGCGAGATGGTTATGTTCCTCTAATTCCTGCTCCAGTACCTCAATAGGGCAGCCTAGTTCGAGGAAGAACATCTGATAGGAACTCCCAATATATCTAGAAATTCTTCCAATCTCTTTGACTGTCATTATTCTGTCTGGTAAATCATCTAATCTCTCTGTGAAACATTGAAAATTTGTCTAATGATTATAATGTACTATACCAATCTGCACGGCGAGATAAGGAAGCACATACACAAACTGAGGAGAAACAAGTGCAACAACGACTTTGATTGTAACTGCAATTTCTTCCGTAAAATGCTTATATATACTGTTGACATTTCATTTAAAGCAATGCATGATTTCTTTCAGTAAATAGATTTGCAAACGTTGAATAGGTTTACAAATATAGTTTCAATGTGGTTTTTTTTAGATTAAAACCGTAGAGTGGTCACGTCATTGCAAATAGAAAGATATCGACTTACCATTTCGACTCGGAGTCTGGTGTTTCTGTGAACAACAAACATTATATCATATTTACACTTGCGTTGCATTCTCTCTAGATGAACTAAGCCCAACCCAATGTTAATAATTTTCGATATTTACGTACGGTGATTAGGCTTGCGCATAGATATCAAATAAAATGTAAGAACTACTTGTCCAAGTTGCGAACGCTACAAAACGAGATTATAGTTTATGTCGTTCGGAAATGTAAAGAAACATGTCAATCCTTACAAAAATAACTTTAAAATATATGCCATTAATAAAAGATAAATTCAGTCAGTAAACCTAAATCGATCTTGTTCGAATTAAGCTCGCGAGATAGGAATTTTGTCGTCTGCAACACACCGACACCATGACTGAGGCTGGCGCTATATGCGATGACGAGGGGCCGATGGTGTACCGATGCCCTCAGAAAATACACAACCTAACCTCAGTATGAATTATTCTGCTGCAGCCTTTCAGTCAAACATGTCATCAGGGTTCTATCTAACTCATCCATGGATGCACGTTCACGTATTTATGGATATATACCTGCGCGGTGTTAAATAATGAATTTGTGTACAATGATAGAGGAATATTGTGTCAATGATGAACTATTGATTCTTAAAACTAAAAGAAGATGTCTAAATATTTAAATAGATATTATTAAACATGTTGATTGTCCTCTTATCTTTGAGAACTATTTTGTTTACTGTACTTGTCAACGGCAGCGCCACCTAGTGTTTTTGGATTTACTTGGTTGTTCTATAAAGCGGGCGGCTGTTCGAACAATGTGTATAAGGTGATTTTTTTTTTATTATTATTATTTCAATTTCAAAGTGACCAAGTGTAAATATAAGGATTGTTTCTTATTTTCTGTAACGCGCACCAAGCAATATGTACTTACCCCAATGTAAATACAATTCGATGCAGCTACAGAAAATAAGAAACAATCCTTAAGTAATGACCAATTCAAGATCCAAATGTAATTTGGAAGAATCCTGAATCAAATTAGAATCAATAAATCCTTCATAGTTTTATTATAAAATAATAATAATAAACTGATATAATGATAAATCAAAAATAATATACCTTCTGATTTGGGTCTCTGAACCAGACGTAGAGGTCCTGTCTCTCAATCCATCCACGTTCACCTGCACTGTAGCATTGTAAGCGAGGGGTCATTCGCAGTTCTTCTACTTTTACCATCTTCTCATCGGGTGTGAACCGGTAGTTGTTGTGGATGTAAAATCGATACTTTAGATGGCTCTGATGATTTGATTCAAGAATACGCCGGAGAAGAAATTCAAGAATGTTGAGCAAGTTCACGCCAGCTCCTTCTGGAGTAGTTGTATCGGTATCTTTTTTGAACAGTGTGACTTTCATGGCATTTTCCTCGCAATGGATGATCATATTCCAAAGAGAATTAATAGATAAGCAAACAAAGCCGCGCTGAATGAATTTTGAACTATCGTGACCTGGCTCGTTCAGTCGATGAAATCTGTGTATGCAGGCGGCAATCATCTTGTCCCATACAGCCTGGGGGATAAATGGGTTGTCGAACTTGAGACAGAGAGTGGCAGTGGTGACGGTATCAGGATCATCAAGAACTGGCCGGATGGTCTCAGGAGTGGCCATTTGGAGCATACTTGGTACTATGAAGTAACTCACCTCGTCATCGGGATTGTCTGACAATGGGTTTGTTAGCAGACCAAGAGTCTCCATAACGCTTTTCAGTGTTTCTGCATGTTCAAGGAATTGTTTTTCTTTATGGCGTCCCCAAAGCTGTCGGATGAAGTCCAGTGTTAAGACACCAGATTTTGTGTATTTCGTCCACTCAAGTCGTAACTTGATCGAAAGATGGACAGTGAAATCTGGGTCAGTGATAACGGCTTTGAAAGCGTCAATTATCCACTGTGCCGGCAGGACGATGAATGGTTTCTTTGTATGAAGATCGAAACAAAGGAAAGATCCGGAAAATTTCAAATTGCTGCAAAATAGTAAAGAGATTTTACAAAAAGACACACAAGTGAAAAAACACATTGAACTCTAATTTAGAATTACAAACTGTTACGCCAAATAATTAATCGAAATGCATAATACAGCTGTTTCGTCCTTCTAGGGATCTTCAGTATTGCTAGGGCCTTAATTTTTGAAAATGAACGAGGAAAATAAAAAATTGAAATTTAATCCAGATTGGAAGGTGTACTGACCATAAAGTTCAATAAATTTCGTAATACTAGATATTGGAAAATTTCTAAAGAACGTCAAGTACATGTGCATATTCTGACATAGCATGATGAGCATGATACAACTTCTACTGACCTTAAAAAACTCGTGATTTCATGCTCTTCTAGAGGAACAGATAACTTGCTGTTGACTTCCAATAAATCTTTATATGTAAGAATGATGCTTCCGGCATTTTTCGATCTCAACAGCTCGTGTTCCAATGCTACCCATCTAGCAGGTACTGGCTTCTCCCACTGTGACTGAAGTGGCGCTATCTCTATAATCTTTTGCCATATTAGGGTGTAAGTGTCTTGATTCTTTGACGAATCATCCAGATTTGCTACAGGGAACATTTCATGGACGTGGTCCTCCATTATTTTACTTAACTGAGGATCGTCGTACAGCTTCTCCAAAACTGAAGCAAATAATGTTCTTTGTCTTTCTTCCTGCCGAAAAAAATCATGAGGCTGGCTAAATCAATAGAATATCATTTGTTCTGTTGAATTCTCCATGAATATTATCAACCTTTCAGTACAACTTATTCACAATTTACACATAATGGGTTCAAGAAGCAACGAAATTATAAAAAATACCTATTGACAACTGTGTATAGAGAAGCATTCCCCGTGATAATGTCTCTTTCACATGTAACTTCTTTTTCGCTCTGATTCGTCGTTAAAGGTTAATAATCTTGCTTTCTGCTTTATCATCAAATTTAAGTCCATCTTAAGTCCATAAGATGAACCTGAAGAAATGTTATTTGCAGAGAAAGTTTCCCAGTATCAAGTTATTACATTGTATTGTGCTAATTATGGTTTCCGTCATTTTAAATCCTCACATCAGGAGAAGCTATGTCTAAGTGTGACCCAACGAGGATGACAGGTGGCGTGCGTTTATCTTGAGTAGTTTGGTCAATCGTATAAGTAGTGATAGACTTCAGCCAATTTTCTATCGACTCTGTAAATATAAAATGCTTGATATTAATTCTATTGTTTCATTCTAGATTACCAATATCCCCATGACATTGAATGAACAGATGACAAATGAAGAAACGAAAGGAATAAGAACGATTTTGATCATAACATATTACCGTAGCCATCTTTTGATGTTTCCGGATCCAAAAACTTTGCTACATCAAACACAAGGACGAAAATCATGTTGCTTGACATGAAGCAGTGATGGGTATTATAGAATACCTTCTCGCCTCCAAAGTCATAAATGGTGATGTAACCCTTCACCTGTTCGTCATTTTCTTTTGTCTCTGTTTTCATTATTTCCCTGATCACCTTCCGCTGTTCCAGTGATAAATTGTCCTGTCGAATACCTTCTGAACTGGACTGACTTGTGCTTGATATGTCACTAATTTCAACTCCTGCATAATGATTATGTATGTTATTAGTTTATTAGTGAAATTGTCCACACCAATGTAACACCATTGTGATTCAATGTACATTTTAGCAGCAACTGACTGCTATATGTCACCAATCGGCCTATAAGTGCATCTCGTTATAGATATCTCTATCGTATACAAGTGAAATAACATCACATAGGTAGAGCAGGATCACTTCACACACCATGCATATATCATTCGTACTATGTTTGATACATTGTTGTACCCTAAATTTGCAAACAAGGTCCACATTTGGACGATTTATCAAGAACTAGGCTAGCTTGATAATGAAGGAATTTCCACATATACATTATGCAGTCTTTAAAAATACGATAAACTGCTAATCATTCTTAGGTATAACAATTATATAGGTTGCCTGTCAATGATAAGGTTAGGATTTGTTTTTATTTTTACTTTTACTTTTGCCACAGGCTCGCCTCTTTTGTTTTTATTGACCCTCGCCATAATACAGCATACATTTTAAGACACTGATCATGTATTCTCTTTGTAACTTTATCATAAAAGATATTACTTTTTTCATAAAGCATTTGGATTAGGTTTTGATAAGGGAAAAATTAGGTCCACGATATGTCAAAACATTAACTAATATCATAATCATATAGCATTTATTTATAAGTGATTTTTAAACTCCCCTGCACATCGTCTGAACATTCGACCTTTGCAAACTGTTTACCGTTATGCGATCCCATAAATATGGAATGTTTTCATCAAGATTTTAAATGGTAATTGTTGATGGGGCTATAAGATCTCTGTTTTGTTCTTTATCGAAATATTAACCTTTTTTTTTCATTTTAATGCAAAAGTAACATAACCTTCTCCGTTTTTCAAATGTTGCGCCTTATCTTAATCGTCATCATAAGCAATATATGTCAATAATAATAATTAATATTGCGGTATGTTATCAGAAATGAAAAAAATTGAAACTTACTTCTAAGTTTCGCAGGTGGTTCGTCAGATGGCGACCTAGATTGCAACAAGAATGCTGAATTTGAAGATGACGGGGATGGAGAACCAGGTAAGGAATCGGGTTCTAAAACAGTTTGTTTTGCTCGTGGTTGCTCAACACTGCGTTTGTCCTGTTCACTTGTAGCAGGTTGCGTAGCATTATCATCCTTTTTCCGGTATCGGTCAATGATTCGCCTCAGTCGTTGACGACCGGTTTCCATCTCTCCGTCTTTATCTAATTTCTGGCGAAATCCAGTATTAGGGTTGTAGCCCATATAATTTATAAATAAATCAGCAGTATCTGTCGGTTCAGGCCCGCCTTCCGGAATAAGTTCTTCCTGGAGTTGTTTAACGAAACAGGATTTACCCACTCCCTTGTGCCCAACAACAGTGATGGTGATATTACAGGGCTTTTCCATGTTCTGAGCTATTCCATTTGTGTATTGCTGTTGTTCTATTTTTTCTAAACAAAAGATCCTTTTATCTATTTATTTTTATTTACTAAAGGAAAAGTTCGTATGAGTAACAATTTTTTATATGTATAAGATATTAATATATTACTGTATTTACTATCTATATAGTATTGAAATGTATTCTAGTTAAAGTTTGTTTACATTCGGTAACGCTTGGTAATAATTAAATACGAGGAAAATAAAATTTATAAACAAACCATATCGGTTACTGTTGTGTTACATCGACTATCATAGTACTTATATATTTACTATTGTAAAATGCAAGACATGGATTCAACAGATTGTAAAAAACATAAAAGAGGCATTGCCGTAGAATTATTATTTACAAAATAATGATAATAAACTAACTACATCTTTTCAATTTCTGTTAGTACACAAGGTGGTTAAAAGTATCAAATTTACAATAATAATTCTTTGATCATAGATAATGCTTATATTGTGCCTTTCTGTCTTATTTCCTACAAATGTGATGCATCTTATCCTTTACAAATATTTAATTTATGCTCTCCGTTATTCACAGAACAATATATCTTACTCGGAAAACTGCATACCGAAGGTAACTGTATTCATTTTCAGTTTTAACAAATTATGTAAACAGAATCAGACAACAGGCTATGCCTATGTCAGTCCTGTCCAAAGTTCTTGAGTTATTACAACTTGTTTTTGTTAAGATCAAATGTAATTTGTTAATTGGGCGGTTTCCAAATTCTATTCCATGTTTGAAACGCCATTCTGAATTTTTGCTGTCGGTAATTATATCTTAAATGTCTAACGTGACATTACTTTATGAACTGACCAAGATCTATATGAAGCAGAAACGTTTACCCATCCGGACCACCTGGTCTTATTCTACTTGTACATTTTAGGGTTATCGAGTTGAATCATTCGATACAAGTATTTTCATCATATTAACATTACCTTCTTTAGTAATAGGAGACGGTTCTTGTGAATTGACTGGACTTGGTGGTTGCATTCCAGATGGCACATTCTGAAATGAAAATGTTTGCAATTAAACTAATACTTGATATCTTATAAACATTGCGGTTTCGCTGCTGAAGTCAACTTGTCTGTAAATCATGAACATGACTATCCACCTTCTTTATCATATAATGGTGTTGAGCATAAAAAAATAAGTTCATATTAACGTTCATGGAAATCGGTTTTTTTTTCGTGGAAGAAGACGTCTATCTACAAGATATACAGATATTCACCTTTTAAAAACAAGCCTTCTAAATATCTTCGAACCGTACCTCTAACAGTAATCTGTATATTTTATATAAAAAAAAACAGTGTAAGTTGTCATTCGAAGTATTGAAATTAAAATAAGGCGGGCATTTTCGGTATTAACTACATATAGACGCTTACATCAACATATATTATTTATCATCTTAAGCTAAAGAAACTACAATACTAAGAAATGAACGCTTACTGCAGCATAAATTATGTCAAAACTGTGTTTAACAACCGCGAGCAGAACAAATTCGCAGCATTAGGAAGACGAATGATGCTCAGCAGAAACATGATGCTGGCCTGGAACGTATTGAATATCTTTCCAAATATTGGAAAAGTATTCGAACTCACCTCAGGTCGAAGTCCTTTATCAATCAGTAATTTGACAATATCTCTGTAACCTCGTGTTTCAACCTTTTTCACTTCCGAGAGCTTCAACTTCAGCCGATATGAAAAGACAACATTATTAGTTTATTCAAAGAATATTTATTGAATAACAAATTAGCAGTCCATGTTCTTTAGATCCTGGTGATATCCACGGAATGAAAGATATGAGACTAATAATAAAGGTACATGACCATGGTAAGTATAAATTAATTTGGCAAATTAAGACTACTAGTTCGTTGTAATATACAGGGAATTATAAATATAACCAAAACTGATCCCATACTCACAAGCCACACCCCTTTTTACGCATAAGATATTTGCTAAGGTGTGTCCCAACATGTACCTACGCAAAAATAATCTTGTTACAAGCCAATAATAAACATGTTATTTAACCTCTAATTACAGACGGTAAATTAGAATATTATGCTGTATTGGAAAGTTCTGCTGTCGAAAAAACAGATTACAGATGCATTCGGTTTCATGGCAATATCAAGACTATCCGTAAGGAATTTATCAAATAGATTTAAAGTAAGTACATACTAATTCCTGGGAAAATTCCTGATTATGCATTGATTCGTAGTGTTTGAAGCATTAAAACAAACTGCTACCATCAGAAAATCAATAAAAAATAAATCTGAATAATGTTTGAGGAAGAACAAATTACAAGGAAGATTTGAATATAAGATACAATACACCATAAAACATTACCTGATTAGGATTTGCTCCCTTTTCGAGTAATAGCTTAGTTACATCGAAATGACCCTTCGTTGCTGCCTTTTGTAAAATTCCTGACTGCAATGAATTAATATCATGAAATGCCACAGATCATATGAATCGACATACAAAAACTATGAAAAAAATGATATTATTATCAACAGGGTGCCTTTGTTATGGAACGAACGCACTCAAATCTTTACTGATTTTTATAAAACCATTGTCGTACATTTTACCAAACTTTGAATATCCCTACTCAATATTTTTTTCCATACTGGACATTATTGTGTAAGTAAGTTTTCTATCTTACCACCAATTAAAAATTGATGGTATTTATTAAAAACAGCTTAGCTTGCAATTTTAGAAATTCTAGCATTTGTATCAATATTACACACTTTATCAATAAATATTATTACTGTTACCGTGTACTAGAATAAAAAAACATTTCCAGAATAGCATGTCCAAAGGAACATTCCGTCAAGGAATATGAAAAACAAAATGTGTATAATCCGAATGTTTATCACATTAAATTGTTGCTAAATTGATATAGATGAACGAAAACGCTTATGTTGACTTCAGTAATTAAACAAATTGAACGAAAATGTAACCTCGAGTACAAAATTTGATATCATATACTGTAAATATTACCTGATCAGGATCAACCCCATTGTCAAGCAGCAGCTTAACAATGTCAAAATGCCCCTTTTTCGCTGCCTTCTTCAACGCAGAGGACTGGAACAGAGATATGTTACAATAAATAACATAAAGGGTACCTAATGAGAGGAACTCTTAACGACAAATAAAGTTATAAACTGAATAGCCAAATCCGGCAAGAAGGTGTCTTAATTTCCTGACAGGGAAGGGGAGATATATTTCACATCATAGTTTAAATGGCTTGAAAAGGATGTGTCATCATACGTGGCAAAATGATGAGACACTGATGGCCAAACCAGAAACATATATCAATTAAGAACGATGAAGATATAGACACAATTGTCGTTTATCAATATACTATATATACATTTTCATCTAAATGATCAAACTGCCCAATTGCTTGATTATATCATTATTGACTTATGCAATACTGATGTGTTGAAATCTAAGATAAGATGTCTTATATTGAAAAGCGTAAGCGGAAAAAACCCCTTTTTTCATTTATGTGTAGAAAAGATTTAAATATATGTTCAAGAAAAAACATTCAAAATTGATACAGAACAAGAAGTAGGAAGACATATAGCTACATCTTGATTCTTTTTAAAAACCAATACCTGTTTGGGATCCACTCCCTTGTCTAATAGTAGCTTTACAATATCAAAATGTCCTTTTCCTGCTGCCTTTTTGAAGACTCCAGGCTGAAAAAAATATGTATCTATATGAATATAGCAGTAAATTTGATTTGCTGAAATAAACATACAAACATTTAATACCAATAATATTCAACGTACTTCATCATTACATTTAGCATAAAGTAGCAAGACAAACATAAAAGCAGAAAAAAAGTAGTACAAGATTTCATCGTTTACTAAAAGTCTTGCTGTTCTACGATGATGGTGGGCATTAACTTAAATGAAAATGCGTGTCCTTATTCGCACTCTCAGTATATACTTAGCACACTTCCATTGCTAAATGAAAGCTAGGATACTTCCTATATACCGGAGATACCGGTGTATGTGGTACAAATAGATAGATATTTGTGTTACGAAGAATATGTCCAAGTATTTGATAGACTCACTTGATGTGGATCTTGTCCTTCTTCTAATCGTTGCTTAACGATTTCAATATTTCCATTTGCTGCTGCCTCTTCCAAATCCTTGAAATAGAGAACATAGTGAAACTGACTAATAGCAAAAGTATCATGTAATAAGTATTTACTTATAATATCTAATATCTTTAATTACAGCACATTGACTTGCCCTTGGAACGGATAAGTGTTTTGTCTGTGTGGATATGTTATTATGATATGAAGTAGTTGTACTATATGATCGACGGTATGTTTTAAAGAAAATACCAGGAAATAAGTTTGGGAAAAATACAAAAATATATCAAATATTATGTTCTGATCTTTACAACTCGTAAGTATCTAGCATTCTTTTAAAAGTAAATTCTGTTGAATCTCTATTACGTTCTTACTTATCTATTTAAGAATCAGACGATCCTGGACTAATCAGATGATTAACTCAGCCCTAGTCTTTAAAACCTGAAGATTTTCTTTCGCTATCACTATGATAATCATAAAAAGCATTGCATAAATCGCGGACCATTTCAATTTCATTCTGAACTAGTTTTACTACATTTTTCAAAGATAGACTATCTGTACAGGGATATTATCCTGGTTATGATGAATATAGAAATACGTATCTAGACATCATAAGTAAAACACATTTCTTTCCTACTTGATATTTTGTGAATACGAATATCTAAAACTAAAAACAAATACACGACTATCCGCCTGAATAAGACTATTCACATTTAGTTATATTTGCATTTGCCAGCCACGATATAGACCAACCAGAAAGAGTCGTAATATAATCTACAACCAGAGCGAGACCATGATGTCAACATTGCTTGCAGAACACCATCAAAACGGCTGTCTTACGCAATCGGTTATGATAACTATTTGAAGCAGAAGACGCTTGCCTTTCCGGACGCTTTGCCTTGTTCTCATTAGATCTTTCTATGGATAGTTTCGTGTAAATCTTACTTTTGTTCTTATTATGCCGTACTTTTGAGTTTGAATTAATATTCTGTCGATATGTTGATAATTGAAGTTATAATCGATATAAAATAGCAATATAAAAAGAGAAAATATAAACATTATACATGCCAGAATCTTACAATCAAACACACCATATTGTACCCCAACGCAATATAGTGTTTGACTGTCAAGCTCTGTAATTGATAACGACCAGAAATGCCATAAAATACAGTTTAATTCGTTAATATATATGAGGATGAAAGTGCATATAAAACAACAAGGGAATGTGTAAAATATTCCTCACATATCCGTCTTCTTCCATTGTTTCAATGGTCGCTAACGGCAATGTTGTCTTAGCATTAACTAAGTTCACGACATTTGCATCACTCCTGAAGATGAATAAAAAAAAAAAACACATATCGTCATGATAAATCCGGACATTTTGAAATAATAAATAAACAGAACTGAAGTCATGCAATAACTTTAAATTTAGAAATATAGCATTGAAATTCCCTTAAATAGATACAGATTTTTACGTTATTGTGATATGTTATCATTCATTAAACAAATATATGAATTTGAATCAATTTGAACACTTCGTGATGAAATATTTTGTGTAACAAATACGTCGTTTTTAGAATACATTCTTTGCATTGGAAAAAACGCTTGTTGATTTCAAATGCACGTATGCAGAATGTAATTGGAATGTAATATATATGATCACACAGTTTTCGAAATGGTTGAAATGTCTAGAGAATAGATAGACTAACTTTGAAGTTTGTAAAATAGATCAAAAGTATGTACATCAGAAATAGTTACTTTGTTATGGAATCCATTTAACTATCTTCATATTTTCTTCAACTACTAGGCACTATCTCAGCTATTTAAATGAAGAGGTCAGAATCGATAGATTTGGCATGTCTGTATATTCTTTTTAGAAAATAAAAAAATCCATAGTTTATTTGAAATATCAAAGATTACTGATGGAGTTTAACTTGTAAAATGGGTTTTATTTTTGTAAAAAAAAAAACACATAAAAACAAATTAAGGAAAATTCTATGATAAATATACATCGTGTGTAAACATTGTAAACGTATACTGTTTCCTCATTAAAGATAAGATATGCAAAACACTGTATCATGTCTGGAGAAATATTTCTATTTCATTTTGCGGATGATCTATCATATCAATATGACGATATGAATAATTCCAGATTTGATATAAGAATCCTTTACATAAGTAATTCTCTATCTAAAGATAAGTATTTATATTATGACTATTTTTTTAATTGATTTTTTTTTTTCGTTTTGTTTCTAATTAAATATAATTAAACAGAAATGTAGTTTTTGTGTTTGATATCATAAATACCCATTTTATTCCCATTACAGTATATTAAATGTATTAATATATTTTCATACTTGTAAAATACATGTGATGTTTAACGGCATAGTCTCTATATAATATCTTTGAAATGATTACATTATTTAAGACACCAAAATTAAATAGAATAGAAAAATATTACAATGCGTTAGTAATATTAAAACTGTCTAAATAATTTGTGATATTATTATGTAAAGGTAGCAGTACACAGTTTCTCGGTGTGGCCATGGGTGATTGGGTGATTTTTTTATCATTAGATTACCCCATTATAAAGGTTTTAATTAAAATTGAAAAAATAAATCCTTGCTAAAATTGGTCTTGTCATGTTAAAGTGGACAATGTAGGGTTTCATTTATTTCAGAATAATATTTTAGCTTTGTGTTGGCGATTACTATTGGGGCAGTCTCGAATCTATGTCTACACACCAAATACTAGCTTTACAGGAAGTGAAATTGTGTTTTGTGAAAAATTGTTTCATAGGATTATGTTATGAAGGATTTCCGAGTTGGAATTTGCTGAAATGTAAGAACTTTGTTACCACGACAGTGTTGTTGATTTTAAGATAGGTGTTTAGAATTAAATTTCTTCTAGAAAGTTGTAGTGTTAGGTTGGAATTAGCAGTATTTTTGCATTTTTAGCATTTTTTTCAGGAGGTAACCATGACAATCAAATGTCAGAAAACAGAGGAAATTTTTGGTTTACACAAATTTCATCTCTCTACTATTAAAGTAATTGCTATACCTGTATATCTCAAACATGACCAATAATTTCAGGAAAAATGCAAATTAACTGTTTCCTGATACCAAAATATTTGGATTTGGAAATATATGCACTGCCTTAGATTTCAATAATTTTTCAATCCTTTGTTCGGTAAAATAGAGATATATTAACGCTTGAGGTGAAAATATTAGATTGACGAACACATTTTGGCACTATGAATACTCCCACAAGCACGATTCAATGACATTGCTATCGCGTTACAGAAATATGATTTACAACTGATTTAATCAGGGACAACACTTGATAATTCCTCGACCAGAACATACTTTTACAATCATTGTGATATTTTAAATAAAGGAAGAACATACCGTAACCGCTACAACAAAGATATTCCTGACTGATCAGGTTTTCAATTTAAAAAACATTGAAAGTCATATTAAAATCCGTTAGTCTTCTGTAATAAATGATTCATTGTCAATTATTACCTTTGTCTGTTAGGGGGCATTCTATTTTTAATTAGATAATCACTTGAGACTTCAGGAACGAAAGCATTCACATTCTACTGTTGCAATTTAAAGCAAATAACAAGAATACATACCTGAAGGTAACTGGGTTGTTCCAGTGGAATTGTATCCCTTTTAATATAGTAACGTCATCGTTAGATCGATTCAGTTTTCCAATTTTGTAGTAAATCGATGAGGAATCTTGCCATACTCGGACACGTTAACCAATGGAAATTCTTCAAATAAAACTATACTCCATATTTCAGTCTAAATATCTCCTGTATCTCCATGTTTGCGATGGTTTCCAATTGGTTGTATATTAAAAAATATGGCACAAACATGCAAAAATGTAATTAAATCCACGCATAGCTATTTCTTTGTTATAAATATAGCCTCTAAAGAACCAACATGTCCATTGATTGATATCATTTGACGATACGTAATAAAATACTCACTGATAAAACAGCAGGTAACAAAGGAACAACCGATAAATACATAATTAGTTCTGACACTCCTATGCGGTCTACATAACTTCAACAATAGAGACATTATGTAGACGGGAGTAGCAGGGTATTCATTACTTAAATTTAACCAAGACTAGTAGATCAATAATTAAACGAAGCTTAGATTCCCTGGGTCCTCTGTGCAAACGAAGTATTGATTGTCGCTCACTACTTTATCAATAGTATAAATACAGTGCATATTAGGAATATGCTGCATATTATGACTAGTTTGTTACAATAGAAATACGAATTATGCGAACATCGACAGTTTTTGAGGTTAAAACCAATAAATATTACTACAACGATTGTAATGCAAATTTTTGAGACATATGTATATAAATTCCCATGTTTTGCCATTTTGTATGTGTGTGTCATGGTACAACTTTTAAATAGATGGGAGGTGAACTCTATTAATGAACGATATCAATTCATTTTTTCATTGTTGTGTCGTCCACGTTTAATGTTTTAATAACACTAATTTGGCTGAATAATAGAAAGAAGAAAAATATCCATTTAGGTATGTATTCTTGATTTACCTCGGTGTAACCATACATTGTTGATATTTTCATACATTTTTATAAATCCGTATATTATCTATATATCAATATATTATCTATATATCAATATAGTGTTTATATCTCCATCTATTGCCTTTTGTACATGCATTGTCTGTTTCCCGAAACATATATTTCTATTGATCAAGAAGGTGAAATATGTATTTACGCTTGAATGAAGCTGTGGCGTTTACGTGTAACATAACAAGGTTAGTCTAACGATCTCCTACGTTATTATCTATGCTGTTTTGACACAATAGTGGGTCGCTCAATACATGGTGCAGCAGTATTGCTAACCAAGTTTCATATACATGTACATTCTTTTATAATTGGTTAAGATCTCTCATTGAACAATCATGCCTGGGCAGATTAGCAGGTAGAAATAGAATAACGGTGATATCTAACAAACATTACAAACTGGCGTATGATACTCAATATAGATTATTCCATAGACAATAACTGGCTGGTCATTTAAAAAGCAATGTGAGGATTTTATTCATTTGAACTCCCTAACACTTATTCAGTTAGAGATCTGTTTATTGGTTCTTGCTACCTTACTATATTATCTGTTTTGATGTTAATCAAGTGGTGTAAATATTTAATGCCACTGACATCAGAATCTTAAGGTAGATAGTCTCAGCAATGTTCTGATACATACAAGGAGTCTTAATATATTTTTTTTATTAACTTTATATTTCAAAATACTTACACATGCCATAGCATATAAAGATAGTGGAACTTTGTGTTGGTTATGATCATTTACATTCATTCCCACTTGATATCTCTTATAAATAAAAATTACAAGAAAGTTAATGTTTTCTTTACGATGCAATGAAAATTTATTATATATCATGACAGAAAAACAATCCTCCAGGGGCTTATTTTTGTACATATTACAACTTTATATACAAAATACATTATCCATAATAGCATTAGTGATAATCTTGTGAAAAGCAAATTATATGCCATGGGATTGTTATACTTATCAAATCAATGCATTCAAATATTATTGATTTATCAAGTATATAGCCATTACGCTTGACGGCGTAATACACAAAAGTAACTTGGGAAATATTGTTGTTTCAAATATTTCTCCAAAATGATTTTCATTTCTCCATTACAGAGCTGTTGTTGTAGACGAGGAGTCCAGTGGCACTGCTGTAAATCATATGGTCCTACCTCTAACTTTTTACGCGCAATAACTGATATACAACCTCTTGTCTGCAGCATAGGATCATGTGTCGATGTAAAGATTATTCTCAGCTTGGAACTTTGTTCATTGAATTGATACATGAGTGATTGAAATGTTTTTTATTTGCTATCCTAAATATTCATTCAGGGATTTCTATGAAAAATCGTTATTTCCTGATGCTAAACATGACATTTTAAAATCAAAAGAAATATTCACTCGAACAATATAGTAGCACGATAGAATATTGTATCATATCATCTTTCTTTTCAAGTTTTTTTCAGTTTACTATTCAAATTATCAATATAGGAAATTTGGTTAAAACATTTTTACTGTTAGAAACTTAAATTGTGTGTACCGGATATTTGGATTCGACATGAAAATGTAAAAATATTATTTTCAGACAGAAACTTATTTTCTCGAAATATCAAGGAACATATTTGAAATTTTAACTGAGAAAAATATTTTGATATAAGCAATATCCGATTTTTTCGAATCGAACAAAATCGGATTCACCTCGCCTGATATACTTTGCAATGCATTGACATTTACCAAGTTTGTCATGATAACCATACAAGAAACATCAAGAAAATACCAACATGGCAAACTAACGAACATCAAACACGTCCAGCTTCATGTCGCACAAAGAAACAGAATATTTCTCAATGAGATCCCCATGGCGACCATAAAACTTCCAAACGAACACAGGATCATCCGAAATATCGTCTTTAGTTTGCAATAGCCTTATGTCTGTGTCATGTTTCCCTAATCAATCTGTCATTTCTTGCGTTTCTGTATCTTTCCGTAATTCATGGTTTTGCCAATCTCATCATGCACACGCTAAGTATTCTCATCTCTAATTGCGTGTTAATTTCATTACTAGTTGTGAAAGGTTATGTAATTATTTCAAACAAAATTTTACGACAATCATCTACAGAGGTCCAGCGGATTCAGCTAAATCAATTTTTTCTGAATATTAGCAATATTAATATCTATATGCAACAATGACCTGTTTTCAAATATATAACTTCATATATTACAAGCAAATGTTGGAGTAGCCAGGCCCATCTGAGAATCGCCAATTATCTGCATAAAGTTGTTCAAAGTGGAATTAAGAGTGTCTTCTTTGTCATGCCTTCCATGCCCCTTGTTGAATAAATAATCTTGTTTGACTAATAATGTTCTATCGTTTCGTTTTCGAATTATGAATTGTAATTAACCAGTATGTTATGCTTTTCGTTGAGTAGTATGTCAGTGACATCAGGAAACATAGCCCTCGACTAGAGGTTCACTGTCAACTAGTCATTGTTTCCGTGTTTCTAGTTGCTTCTCGTATGTAAGAATGTATGGAGCATTGCCGTTTTCAATTCTTTCTCAAATGAAAAATGTTGACATCTGCTGAAATCGATGATAATTATTATCGTCCAATAAAACCATCAAGCGTGTTCTGCCTTCCGTTGAGTGGTGTCTGAAATCCATCCTTTCTCAACTGCATAGCATCACAAAACACATTTCTGTTTTAACATTGAATAAAAACATATGAGTCGATTAAATATCATTAACAGAATAAAATATTGAAGATTGTAAGAGATATGTTTGCTTTATACTCTGTTAAAGTTGAGAGGTTTTTCTTTTAAAAAATGATTTTCTGGCGTTAACTGTAAAGCCATAGACTTTTCCTGTAATATAAGCACTTATCACTAACTCATAGTCAAGATAAAGTGAATTATAGATACCTAACATCTCCTGCTTCTCGTTGAGTACTTTTTCTTGCTCGTCATATCTGATCTGCAGCATATGAGTGTCGTAAACCTTTCTCTCTGGCAACGATGATATTAAGATGAGAAATATCAACTGAAATATACTTGTAGATATTCGGTGGTCAACCTTAATATCTTTTGTTCAGTGCAAAGTATAAGTGACATCAACATGTAACACAAATATGTATTCGTTAAAGAAACCTTTGTATTCCATAGATATAAAAACCAAAGATAAAGTCTCATATCGACAGTTTTACTTCTTGAGTCGACATTAATACTCAACAAAAAAATTTTGATTGCGTTGAATATTTTCTCTGGTTCATCCTTTCTCGATCGTATGACACAAGGTCCATCATATTTTCTTCATGGCAACATTAAGATAAGAGTTGTGTACAGTATATTAAGGAATACTGCCCAGTGAGACTTTTGTAAATGGTAAGAGACAAATATATGCTTTCAAGTCCAGTTTCGAACAGTTCTTAAAAGACATGGTTTTATATGCAAATGCAGCAAACCATCAATCATACATACTTAACATGATCTGGGTTTGGGTCAGTAGTCTTCTTAGTTCGTCATGCTTCAACGTCATGGCATGGAGTTCATCGTTTTTCATCTCTGTATTGTCAGAAAGAATTTGCTCACTCATCGCGAATTACATTATAATGCCGATGTAATTGGTAATTGTATGCGTTTAATTTTGGTCAAATATGTATTGTGTATTTCACACCAGATGTTGCATAAACACCATTATATTTTTTTTCGTTGCAATTAACATTAGTTCATATTATTGGCAATACTTCCTAAACCTATAAATATAGTTACCAAACATGTTCTGCTTTTCCTCGAGTAGTTTCTCAAGATTCTCATTTCGCAACTGCATGGTAATGAGGTCACCATTTTTTCTGTCCGCTAAAATTAATGAAAATTCAATGGTGTAATATGCTAATAGATGTTTTTTAACTGCATCCATTTTGAAAGCTCATATCGCAATGTGCCTAACAATGACAAGTGTGGACTTTTAATCCTCCATTGTATGCTGTAATCCTGCATACAGTGTGAAATCACAATTCTCACCTGATTCACTTTGAAGTGGGCGCTTTACATCAGCCAACTCTCTTTCAGCCAAACGCAATTTAACATCTTTTTTACCTATAGACAAAATTAAGAAAGTATCTTGTCAATTCATAAACAATGTAAATTACACAAAGGTTGTATTTTCATAATTATCAATATCAATGCCATTGTGTAATTGCAATTTGAAGAACAATTAAACTTACCAAGATCATCTTCCATAGCTTTTTTGTTCTTTTCTAATATAGAAAGCTGGCATGTCAGCTCGGCGATTTTCTCTGTAAGGTCTTGTCGTGTTGCCTCCCATCCCACGGGAAGAATTTGTTTCGTTTCAGTTATACCATTTTCCTTATCAATGTGGGCACGTTCAGCATCTTCCTGCATTGACTCGCGCGCACTTATAGCTGATTTCTTAAGTTCGTCAATTTCTGATTTTAAACGTTTTATTTCCTTCGCTTTAGCTTTAACAATAAGCAATAAGTACTCCTGTGTAAAGTTGTCTTCCACAAGAGTAAAGAAATCTTGTTTGGTGTGCATTTCATTCATGGAAAGCAACTGTGTTAAAATTCTACTGCCAGACTTTTCTGAAGGCGTGGCATAAATAGATTTATTTTTACAACCAGGATACCTTGATATTTTCTTGTCCTTGCTTCTGTGAAGAACCTCATTCAGATTGGTAATTAATTTATTCACCTCCTGTATTTGTCCTCCGGCATCTCGTTTAACATTCTGTAGATATGAAATGATATAGTACATGATGGTCAAAACTAATTGTGTGCCGTAATTGATACCTCAATTGTTTCTCAATGACAGAAGTGTATATCCATGTCTCTAGAACTTGAATCAAAACACTGAATAGCATAGGCAATTAAAGCGTAACAAAAACAAAGTCGTGTGTTAAAAACTTCTTGCAGATACAATACCTATCGCCCTGTATTACGTAATAGTAAACAAAGCTCAATTTAAAACAACCGAAAAGGTTCATACCTTAAATGCTGTCTTGATTCTATCTCGAATCACTCAGTTATTATCATTGGAAAATGATCTTGAAAACATAGATATAATTAGAAAATAAAGATTAAAGATAGTCCAGTTAATGTTATCTGTGAAAAGCACAAATCCTTTCAACTACTCGTTTTTGATAGAACCGTTTAAAAGCAACTTCTGCAGTAGTCACACGCCACACCGTAAAACATTTTGTCAAAAGTTTTGATAGGTGCATTAAGATACACAACATACTAGTAATATATTCGGTTTACTTAGCACACGTATAGTGTATCTATTTACAGGTAAATAGCATAAATATGTTTTAGGGGAATGGCTAAATATAGAACAAAGATGTCATAAGGTCCGCTTGATCTGAAAAGCGCACTCATTATCCATATCACTACGGTGGACATCGGGGTCACTTTGAAATTATTTAAAAGAAAATAAAACTGATATTTGAATGTCTGTTATAGTATGAAATGTTATAATTAATTTTGTTATGAACTATTCATATGATAAATACATTCGTATATCCCATGTCGTTTCCTCGGGATAGAACGCACATGTACTGATATTTACTGACATATGCCTAGATGGTGTCCACTGTTCCAGATTAAATACCGAATTTACAATATCAAACCGTATTAAATACTTCACCTCGAACAATTTATCTGTCAGTGATTCCAGTGGTCCATACCATTCATCGATAGTCTCAAATGCACCAGACACAGCCATAATTATATCTGTCACCGAATACCCGGAATTTAACAAATACGCAGTTACCTTTACCTTACTCAGTGACGGGCGTTAGAATAACAATACGGGTTTTTTTGGTTTCGGTTTGTAATATGTCTTAAATTAAATTAAATTTCCTTTGGAATTGAAATCCTCCTTTTAACGCATCTTGTATTCCATACCTCCAGTTTATCTTTTCAACACTACGAGAAATTTATATTCCACTCAGGCACAACTATATTGATTGAAAGCTCCACTTAATCTTCCAGTTTTAAGTTACATGCAATTAATCAAAGATACTAAAGAAATGATGATGTAGATTTGTACAACATTCTTGACAACATATCTATGCAGAGCATTTTAGCAGAAAATAAAAACATGTAAAATCATATTTCGTTACTATCACCAGTGGTCGTAAACTGTAACGGTTCAATTCTTGTTACACGTGTGTTTGGTAATCACTCATTTATTTTCATTTCTATCTATCACCTCATCTCCGCGTTGAAAGTTAGCCAAATCAATCATGTTTTTGTTTGTTTTTTTTTCTGTTCATGAATAACGATAATTTAAAAAATAATATATAATATGGAAATTTTACAACACATCCAACTTATAATTTAATATAAAGCCATTGACCTATATATACTAATAAGCTAGGTGATTTAATGTAAATCCTTATCAAAATCGAGTCGTCCTGTAACAGGGAGGTAACTCTGCATTTCTGACAACATCATAACGTCAGTGCATGCAAATTCCCATTAATGTATTAGCAAAATATATTTGGAGATACACTTGTACGATTGTACAGGAGACACACGAGAGGATAGATCCTTTTCGTAAGTTAGAATTAGTTACAGTAGAGACAAACTCTTAAATGAAATGCATAGTACAGCTGTTTCTTCATTCTAGAACTCTTCAGTGATGCTAAGGGCCTAAAATTTGAAGCCTAGGAAGCGACTGAGTAAAAGTGATCGAAAGAAAAGTCAAAATCAGGACGAGGAGGTGCAGCATCCTAATAAGTAAATAAATTTCCTAGTTTTCATATATCAGATCATTTTAGAATAACGTCAATTACTTGTGTATATTCTGAACCATGTCATTACTCGAATAAATTTAAACGTGGCATACAGGTTTTGACAAATCTGGGGAACTTAAAGTCTGTCAAGTGTGTCTACCACCTGCTATTGCAATTTGATCAAAGTAAAGAAAGTCATTTATAATTTTTCTTCCTTGAATTATTATCTATCTTTACTGATATTGGGTTATTATCAACAAATTCGCGAGTAACAGGAATTTCATGTAGCAAAAAGCTATCATCTATCATGTATCAAAACGCGACAGATTAATATCGTAAATTAGAACTTAACCTTAATATATAACCCTAGTTAAAAAAAGGAAATTGTTGTTATTATTAATATGAAATGGTTATTTTGACATTTTAATGCATAACCAAAAGGAAAATCTTGTTGTAACGGTGCAGCATCTGTTCGTTAATCTGATTCGAGTATATATGATATATGATCACAGATGAAAACCTGTATGAGTGCAAAAATGTTTTTATATTTTATAATGGAAACTTTGAAAATTAAAAACATTACAAAACATTTTACAATGATAATTGTATCATATAAATTATATCTTATAAACACAATTATCAAATATAAAAGTATGTATAATGTGCTTTAAAATCGTGACCGGTAAGCAACCCATTAAAATTTTATGTAGAAAAGATGGAAATAGATATACCATGTACGTATAAAATGCAAAATTCCCTACAAAAGAATGATGATCGTTTAGGTTTTACTTTCAACAGTGAACGACACAAAAAGGGCGGAACGTAAAATAAAAATTAAAAATAAGATAAAAAAGTAAACATAAAGGAAGTTAATAAAGATGCAAGAAATACATTATAAACAGTTTTATACATAAAAATGTAAATAAATACAAACACAAAGAAATCTTTGTTAAAAACCGATTTCACAAATAAAACTTTTAATGAAGCATGCCGTGGTAATATAGTAAAGGGAAAATACCGATAGATGAAACAAACAATGCATTACCTGGCATTATGATCAAGGTAATACGTATTATTCTCGAAAGCACTGAAAGACTACAAAAAAATGTAAAAATATTGTAAGAACTCGAACAAACAATTCTCAATAACCAATTTCTGAGATGAACTATGAAGAGACAAAGACAACATGGTAATGTCCGATCCAAGGACTTAAGGAAAAGAATTCGATGATGTATTTGATATACCAGGAAACATCATACCAATTTTGAATGGAAAAATAGCTGTTTTCTGACATTTCCACAAATACAAAAAGATAGCATCTACATATTATTATGAGGGCGTACCTTTCCCAAATTATTAATTTATTAATATCAAAACAAAAAAACATATTAATTTAAGGTATACCATTTAAAGATAATTTTGTTGCATTCCAATAGCATATTTTAACGTTTCTCATATAACAGAGTTTAAAGTTTCTCATATAGAAGACATTTTATTATGAACATTTTCCCAGAAATGTCGCCATTTTTTCCACTGCTGAGTTGTTGACGTCACAATCGATCAGTCCACCAGCACAGCTGAAGATCATTTCAATCGTTCCGCCAAGCTGATGTATGTCACTTCCGCAATAACGACAGGATTCTGTTCCAGTCAGAGACGGTGAAGTTTGTGTTTCGGTGTAGTGAATAACGATAAGCACGGTATCTTTGTACACTGAAGCATATGAATACATTTAACGTATATTACATGTACATACTATATTTCCAAACATTCTCAACTAATTCTCCTCTTATTGTTTACTCTATGCTGTAAAACATATTTACATATACAAATATGAGCTTTATAAATGCATCCAAAACAATTGTTTTGATAATGTGTATAAGATAGTTTTACAGATGTTACATTTGACGTTTCAAAATGAGCCTTTGTACAATGATGACTTTGATGATGTCCTTCTGTCTTGAATTCATTTCCGGACTTTCATGCAATTTACCTTCAATTGTAGAAGCTTATGTGTTGCGAGCCACAAAAAGTTCTCTCTGATCTACAAGGAACTGTGCAGTTATTTACGTTACGTAATACTATTTAGTTGTCCAGTCATAGTGAGCAAATAGTGTCATTTAATACAATGGTGTGAATTCAGATAACAATCTTAACATAATATGACAAGTACATGGATTGTTACGTTGGGATCTAGTGAGCACTAGATCAAAAAAATTGTAAATCAAGCTTTTTCAATTCGAAATATGTTCGTTCATTGTCTTGTCAAGTTCTCGTACATGATTTCAAAGCGAAGATTAACTTTCCACGATAATCGAAATTCGGTAAAAGCTAACTGAATAAGCTTTAAGTTGTAATTCTTTACAAAGGTATTTTACTAAAGTACCTTGTATTCCTTCTCATGCGATGATCTTACGATTGAGTTGGCCAGACAAAGAATGAAGAGCAGACCATCTGCAACATCATCTAAAGTTTGACAGGGTTTGATGTTTAAAACTTTGTTGATCATGGCTAATATCTGTCCTGTAGAAGCCTCAGTATTCCTTTAGTTATCCCGTCAATCATTGTTCTTCCCATACCACTACGCAAGCTACGTAATCCAACTTCTGTGAAAACATGTAATAATTTTGTTACTGAATGTAAACTAAGATATGTATGTGATAAGTGAACCAAACGGATAAGTAAATAATCTATGGAAAAAAACAGATATCTATCTTAAAACACTGATTCAACAAGAGAGAAATATAATTTCCTGAAACTAGTTTACAATGTTTATGGAGCAAGTGAGTCTGGAAAATATTCATTTTCGGATTTCCAATTTATAACCTCCGCTTTATGTTACGAATTGGTCCTCATACAAGAAAACATTAATAAATAAAACTGTATAAAATACTTCACAATGACAGTTTCATGTCAATATGTATAACAATATATAACAAATTTAAAGTGATCTTATCCAATCATGGAATGATTGTAAAGTCATTGTATCGATTGATTGGTTTAACTCCTGAATACATTCTTCTGTAATAGCTGTGGTTTTCTGTAACAAAAAAAAAGTAAAATTTATTTAATGTCTTTTGTATTATCGAATAAATTAGAATAAATAATGAGTGTAGTGTCGATAACCCATTATGTTCAGTAGCATTTTTTTCTCATTTACCTCTCGGTGACATTTGTGTTCCGTATAGCACATATTGCTTTGACGGTGGAATGCCTGTCGCTATGCTTATTTCACCGTTTATTGTTTTTAATCATTGTAGTGTATTATGTTTGATAAGGAAATAGAATGTTGTACAGGTATTAAACATTGTTTTTGATCGTTAAGTGAACATTAAATACATTTTATGGTATGGTATGGTATGGTATGGTGTCAACGTAGACAAAATAAGTTAATAACAGTTTAACTGCCCAACAAAGAACATATAGGTGACTTCATCTTAGCATATGTAAAATACAAAGCTTGAGAAAAACACAAAAAGAAAATCAGGCGTGTAACCTTGAATACAACAAATACTTACTAATCTACAGCCACTCTGTTGAGGTAGATTGGGTGGTTATTGTATGTTTGATGAAACGCATTTACACTGTATATATGTGTGTGTGTGTGTGTGTGTGTGTGTGTGTGTGTGTGTGTGTGTGTGTGTGTGTGTGTGTGTGTGTGTGTGTGTGTGTGTGTGTGTGTGTGTGTGTGTGTGTGTGTGTGTGTGTGTGTGTGTGTGTGCGCGCGCGCGCGCGCGCGCGCGCGCGCGCGCGCGCGCGCGCGCGTGTGGGGGGGGGGGGGGGGTGAGGGGGGGTGGGGGGGCATGGGTGTGCCTGTGTGGGTGGGGGGGAGGGTGTGGAAAGATTTGAGATCAGAGTTTTAAAGATTCCAAAGTTAATTGCTGTAAAAGACATTCAGTCGCTGTTTATAATCAATACACTGCATAACAAAAAATACAAAATGGTGCCTGGTACACATTCAATACAGATAGATATTACGCACCTATGATTAATCGCCTGGGCTATGATCGTTACATGACAGTCAATACACGTTGTGAGTGGTCTTGTTGAAACTCTCACATTATATGTTTTACTCAACTGAACGGATATAAATAAACCTACGCAATCAATTCATATTAATCCTACTTTTATGTTTAAGGCAGAACAAGATATATCATGCGCACAAATCATCACCAGACTGATGTACCGTGTCACTCCTATACACGACCTATTACTTATAAAGGAGAAACGATTAAAAACAAAATACTTAATGTTATATTAAGAATTGTTGTTCGATTGGATAAAAAATAAGGCATACTCTGCAGCCACAGGCACAGTGACTTTCCGTTGAATTTTCCAGTGGGACACGCTTGATACCAATACATAGTGTACCTCCGATGTAACATGAACCGTGTTGCATATTTTTTTGTTATTGAAGACTCATTTGGCGAGAAGGAACAATTCCATAACATTAGTAGTTCAGTTATCTTAAATGTGAAAAGAAATGACATCATCTATGATTTCTTTGATAAATAGAACAAGAATCGTACGTCAACTTAGTTTTAAAACAAATCATTGGATATAAATGGTTTAATTTATATTTGCATACTGATCGATAATGTCTGCACGCCTGCCACCAAGAAGCAAATAGCTAACCACAAACCTGCGATTTGTGATAAAATATTTCAGGGATGTAGATTTTCTGTCCATTGATGATATTAGAAGTGAAGAATAACTTAATTTGTAAAGAGATATTGCTAACGTTAAATTATAAATAAAACGCCAGTATCCTTCTGCTTCGTCCACCTGTGATAACCGATAATACATCTATCGACTTCAGATGCTTGGATTTTGGTGATGAAAGGAACGTTGTGTAAGCATCGAGGCTGCAATCAATTTTAGTGTTACGTTCTTTACATTTGGTGTATTAATTTATACAAACATTGTTTAGATGATTAATTTACTATTAGTAGTTAAAATCATTTTCGATCTGATTTTGGTGGCAAGACCTCTTAAGGTGAAAAGACGAAATTACCACATAAAGTGGTCACATTTCAGCTCAGGTCTGATCGATTGAAAACAGGTAAACATGTCTGAATAAATAAATAAGGCAGGTTGTCTGCAGATATAATCTTTGATGTTGTACAGTTCCTATACCAAGACCTAGAGTTGTCGTTGAGAATGAATAAAACCAACTACTCCAGACTCGTTTGTCCATTTTTTGTTAGATGAATATATGTAATATTATCGGTGGGAAAAGGTCAATACGCTATTTCCTCACATATATTATACTAGAAACCGGACAAGAGATTAGTATGGTACAAAGCTAACATAACAAGCACTTTTAATGTAATGTTCATAGCAGTAAACATGAATATTCCAATCAATCTATGTCGTTTAGGCTATTATTTGATATCGAATTCATGGTGAGTACCAATACGTTAATCTTCCTACCTCAGCAAATTCGTTGATTATGCTGCATTCTTCAGAAATCTGAGAGTCCCCTTGCTCGTGAGTACAAATGTGTCCTTAGTTCCACCGACCCATTCGTGAATGGTTTTAAATAGCAGCATGGGTTTCTCCACTTTCGTTTTAAGGTACCGTCATATAAAATTTAAGTTTTACCCACAAAAGGTTTTGTAACAAATCTGTAATATGATATTTCAAGTGACTGTACTTCAGTGGTTAGAAACATAAAACGCATTAAAGTAAATGTATCAAATACACGTTTGACATGCACGTCTTCATCTGTCTAAAGTTATATATATAGTTATATCGACGTAAATAGTTTTGTGGAAGTATTATGGGTCTAATATCTCGTTCTGTCTACTTCTTATTCTATATATTTATAGACACTGTTCATAATGAACGCAACATATTTCATCATTAGCCAACATAAAATACGTCTACAAAGATTAAAAAAAAAGAATATGAGGTAAGCTAACAAATTCTCATATTGTTAGAAGACAATGGCTATATAGATATTACAAAGTGAAAATATCCCTTATGAGGGATTTACTGTTTATGCAAGTATAGTTGTGGTATCGCACAGTATAGTATACACACGAGTAGGAAGTAGCTACTTAATTAGAATTTTGTTGCTGCATACGAAGTAAGTAATGCACAGTGAACACGTGTTTAGAGAAGTGAATGAGGAGTACACTTATTACGTCTTACTTTTTTCGTTGATAGGCAGTCACATATATAACATGTTTCTTTGTTCTGTACTCCATTCCAACTCGACAAAATTGCTAGAACTACGACGTCATACATGGAGATGTGTATAGTTAAATGATTACTAAGTGAAGGGAAAGGTACGGGAATAAAAAGTAAATAAGATTTCATAGAATGCATTAAATCATTTTGAGATATAACCGCTTGGTTAATACCCCCCATTTATATTCTGAAGTAAGTATGGATCTTTTTGAAATTACATATGTTTGAATCGCTACATTAATGTATTGTTTTACCAAGTCTATTAAAAATGGATCTAGAATATAAGAATGGTTATACACGTATCATTGATTGAATACTGTGTAGATATTGTTATTGCTTTGCTGATGAGAATAGTAGTAGTAGCAGAGCAGCATCCTTATAATACAATAACAAACGTATTATGCAGAAAACGTGTTTATTATTAATGCAAATGCAAAAGATGTAGCTCTCCAACCTCTTCGTATATATGAACCTCACTTCGTACTAGGTGTAAACATTAAAATTGAAATGACAAAAGGCGGTTGTCTTTGAATCGGGAAACAAATAAATAAAATGATTTATCGTTTGATCATCTACAAAGTCGTAAAAAAGTGAAAATTAGTTCCTAATTTTTTTCTAAAAATCAAAGATATAAAAATCATCAAAAAATATAACGTTTGTCTTATTCAACAATATTTGTCGGAATAAGATTGAAGAATATAATCTTATAAACAACAAAAAACGCTACCTTCGCTGAATTGAAATCCAATTCTTTTTAGACATTCAGAGCAATTGAAGACTAGCACCACTTCTTCAACGTATCTCAAAAGATAGTTGAAGAAAAATCGTGTAAAGACGTTAATGTACATGTTCATTATTTTAAAAAAATGTAAGTGGATACAAAATTCAATGAAAAATTTAAAATTTAATTCATTATAATCAATAACACCTTATTTAACGTGACACTACCCGAATTGGAACACTTTTTTAAAAAGAAATAATATAACAAAATATAACTGAGTGTTTTGATCCTGTATTTTTCTTGGTATTTCTCAAATAGATTCCTTCAGCTTTCATTTCATGCTTCGATTACTTACCAGCAGTACGCATGTCTAGAGCACAGAAAAGCATGCCATGCTCAGCAATCCATTTCAACAGGTAAGGGTACCCAAAATGGAACGCTTCTTAAATTCAGTTATCAAAATACAAATTATCAAACGACGTAATCTTGAATATATTTTTTCATTTTATAATACTTCATTAACTTTCTACTAATCTAAGTCATTTGTCTATCAAAAATATCAACTCCAAAAATATATTATAATAGTTTTTAACGTTAAATAGAGATGAAAAGTAACATGGAATACATTCGCTAATTAAGATTCCATAATTTATAAAAAAAACCTCATCTCTTGTTTAGAATAGTTAATATTCACTTATATGTCAAAAGAAAAATTCTGCGTCAAACATTCGAGAAGTGTTCAATTTCGGTATCGTCAACGTTAACTAACATCATGAATGTGCTCTTCTAAGTTTTAAAAAAAATCTCGTTTATTCTCACCAGGTACGGTTCGGTCGATTCACAACCGACGAATGTCTTTCGTTCTCCTAACATTCAATCTTCCATAGAAATGCATGTATCTTATATAATCGTATATTTTTAAGTTTAAATGAATTCGTTTTATACAACGTAATATCATATGTCAGTAGAGGTGACAAAAGTCAAATATATAAAATGTGGTGATCATGCTTTTCATGGAATTGCTGACTAAGAAAATATGTACGTATAATTAATATAGGATAACATTATGTGGAGGTTAATAACTGAAACAATAATAAATAACAGACATGTTAACTTCATTTTTATCCAAACACAAAAATAATGGGGTGGAGTAAGTTATAAACAAACAAAAGATTAAGACACAGAACCTACAAACACCACAAGGCAAGGAAAATAAGACAAGACGTTCATGAAGAGTCAACGTTTTCTGTTTCATTGACACACCTTACAAAACACCCAACCAGCATTTTTAAATTACGATTTCAATAGAGAAACGATGCAAAACCAAGTCCATAAGGTGTTCACTGAAATAAATCTCCATTATGATAATAATTTTGTATGTTATATATTTGAATGCCTTTCAGCTGATCAATTGATGTCGATTGCACATATTCGTATTTGCAATATGACCTAATTATCGCTTAATATATGTTACACTGTATTTGCTAATTTGATGTACTTATTATAGCATATTAAAATTACTCAATCAAAATAATCAAATTTTCAGTAAAAAATGTATCGCAAGAATTGAATTTTTCTTCTTCTTCTTCTTCTTCTTTTACATTTCAAAAATAAGTATAATGTAAGCTTTCATTGTCAATAGTGGCATACCAAATTATCATATCTCATTAAATGTTTTGAACCAATCTAGAAACACGTCAAAATCATTTTGTGGCGTACCTATGTATGCTTTACTTCCATACTTCATAAAATACGATGAATCAATTTCATTGTTTATGAATCTGAAATATGATAAATGCCAGAGTAACATTGAAAATTTACCCGCGTTGAAAATGAACCCTAAAGGTCAAAGTTCAATGTTACACCGGACCTGGGAAACTTCCATTTGGGATTCCAGTTAAATCCTTTATCACATAGCATAAATCGTCGACAGTCATGCAAACTTCCAGTTGAATATATATTTCAATGGATAAATTAAGCTTTTTTTCAAATCAATATTTCTTCAGGAAAGTCGACATTTTTTCCACTGCAGAGTTGTTGACTTCGCAGTCGTACAATCCACCAGCACTGTAGTAGATCATATCCATTGTGCCGCCGAGCTTCCGGAAGTCGCTTCCAAAATAACTGAAGTCGCCGTTTTTCGTTATTGGTGACCATTGATCTTCGGAGTCATCGAAGTGTATAAGGATAAGTACTGTATCTTTAATCCCTAAAGCATATAGTAGATAAATTCTAATATTGATTCAAAAAGTTATTGAAACAAAAACTAAAAGTATCACTTTCTAACAATCAAGAACAATGCTCTGGTTAGCCAATATAAAATCAAAGGATATATACATATACATATAGTTTATATATTGACTTTGTTGTAAATAGGTCTTCAAGTAGACAAAATGGAATTTACCTTCTATGCCTTCCAATGCTTTGACCTTTGTTCCAAGGATGGACTTGGCCAAACAGAGAACGAAGAGAGGACCAGCTGTAACATCCTCTGGTGATTTACACGGTTTTATGTAGATATCTATTTTGTCTCTGACTAGTCTCTCTTCTAAAAGTTTCTGTAGTCCCCTGGTTATTCCTTCAATCATGGTTTTGCCCATACCACTGTGCTTGCTAAGCAGTCCCACCTCTGTAGAATAACAGTGACCTTGACTTGACGGAAAACATTGTAATGGAATATGTATGTCTAAAAACCGAGAACGTTTGGTGTTTTTTCAGGTGGATTACATAGAAAACACCATAGGTTTCTGTATAAAAAGTAGTTACATTTCAAGGGTAAATAAGAGTTTTATAAATGCATTGAAGCTAAAAAATACGTAATATTATTTTTGATTAAAATACACAGAACAAACGTCAAATGTATGTCACGCAAATAACTTTTTTATTTTTATCATGATTTTCACTTTTCATCCCTCCTCCAAAGATGGTCTGTTTGGCTTGAGTATAACCAATATTTTTTTAGTTCTTAATTGAGAAAAAATACAATAGTTTCAATGTACAAGATTTAGTTGTGCTGATACTAAGAGTGCATTAACAATTTATTCTTGTCTGGGACCATACATTCATTGATTTATCACTAGTCGTATGTAACATTCCGTTGTTTGTATAAATAAAACGTACGTGATAGAGAGGCCAATTCAGATTTAGGTCATACTGTGGCCACTCAAATAAACGTTTGATTGTTGAAAGGAAGATACTTTAAGTTCAACTGAATATAGGATACTTTTCGAAACATTAGAAGTTGTGTTGGCTCTTCGAAATTCTTGTATCAACAAATGAGGATTGAGAAATATTTTTTATTATGTTGTGGCCATCTGTAACTTGGATTTTCTCTGAACGAGTCATTTTCATTATCATAGATATCCTTTTGTGAATAACAGCACAAATGAGGTTTGTCAATATGCAGTGCCGTATATTTTTAAATAACGGAATCTACAGTATTTATGTTTACATAATGATGTCTATAGCATTGACAAGTCCAGTTTTACTGATTTCTCTTGATATCTAAATTTATCTTTTGGCATGGAAGCAGATCAAAATGCATGTGGTAGAATCACTAACGCCCATATGTCATATGGAGAAAAACTATTTATCACAGTAATGCTAGCATGCAGTATATGTTTTGCGCAGATTTGATCAGTCATAATGTAAAAGGAAACTTTCAACGTGTTAAGGCATGCATAGTTTTT